GGTAGTTAGAAGGTCATGTTGTGAAATCGCAGGCGCAAGCTTGCATTATGGGATGTGAATTCATGACATTAGCTTTGCCGATGACTTGTCACTGATCTTTAGCCTGGTTGTACTGTTTTTGTATTAATTAATAATTTGGCCCCTATAAAAACCAAAGCCCAGCTCTTCCATTTTGGCAGTTATGAGCCTGTAGGTTTGGGCAGTCCACCTTGTTCCATCTAGGGTGTTATAGTTAGTATAACAACTCCCTGTTCCATCAAAACTCTTACTTATCAGGTCAAAAGTTGCCTCTTCCGTCCAGGCGTTGTTTCGGTTTATCGCTGTTCGGAAAATTAATCGGGAATAATAAAATAAAGTTCCAATTTTGCGGCGTAGGAGCAAAGTACATGTTGTCATTTTCGAAGATTTGAGAGAAAAGGTACAGGAATAATGAATAAAGATCATTCTGAAATCATAAGTGACAAAATGTATCTAAAAATTCATTAAATAAAAATCAAGAAGATACGATATACTCAAAATTTAGAAAAACTAATTTAAAAAAAATTAACATGTCAATAACTCTGGTTGTTTGATGGTTTTTGTGAATATGGTTATATTATGGTAAATGTAACCATGGAGTTAAAAAACATACTTCATAAAATCTAATAAAAATCAATATTCAGAACAAATTACTAATTGCCCATTAGGCCTAACAAAATTGTTATGTTGGCGGAATGTGACCTACAGTACTGTACCCTAAAAAATTGGACGACCCTAAACATATTTATTTAATTTTCACGATACAAGTTTACGTGAGCAAAGTGGACGTGGTCAGGCATCACTCAAAATGTTTCAAAAGTGGTCCGAGGGCGAAGAATATGAAAATTAGGGGCTTTAAAGGCTTATTTAATTGAGTTTATTTACTTGTTTTAATAGCAAAGTGATCACATACATTTCATGTACCAAATTCTTTTTGCACTGAGTTTGATGTTGCTGAGTGAATACATAAATATCAGTGTGTTTTTGTGGCATGACAGAAAGATTGTCAAATTCTCAATTGTCATAATTATCATGAAAATCACATTACAGCAACACTTTTTGGATGCAAGTCCAGTGCCAAAAATATATTTTACCATACAACAAAATCATTGATTATAATTTTCCTGATACACAGTACTCTCTCATCTTTTTCCTCCATCATGCAAATTTATAAAAATTAATTACCGCCAATCATTAACCTTTCAAACGTGACCATGGCAGTCTTGCTTGTATTGATCTATTTTAATGTAGTGCTTGTTAATTGGAACATGACACCAACAGGCAACGTAACAGTGGTCGTAATTTTTATCCAATTTATCATCCAACATAAACCTCATTTAAAAATGACCATGGTTTGCATTTAAAGTAATTATTGCCCTTGTAAATTACCTAATCTTATACACGAACTTAGAGATGACACTAATGGAGAGAGAGTTATTGCTGTACAGTTGGAATTTGAAATTACATTAAAGATAGATGTGAGTGGAATTACATGAATACCAAGGACATTTAAAAAAAATATGTTTGCAGCTCATACAAGAAGACTGTGGAGTTCAAAGGCCACTGGGCTGGAGGAACAAGGAAGTACAACAGATGGTTGAAATCACTCTCATCAATACAATGCTTCTTATACTGTAACACCTGTGAGGTGTCGAAGGGGGTATTTTGGGGAGCATACTGTACCACCAGAAAAAGTTTGTTCTCTGAGGTAGATCCATCTTTTACAGTGGAAATTTGATGAGCATGAAAAATACACAATTTGTTAAAAATCAGCCCACCATCATCAGCCCAATGTCAGTGGCGCTGAATAGCTTAGTGGCCAAGATGTTTGCCTTCTAATTCCAGCTGGCTCCTGGGTTCAATTCCTATGACAGCAGAACTTTTTCTTAGGACTAAAGGCAACTCCACTCCTTAAGCCTCATAAACATTTTAGGATACGCTTGAAGGGTCACCCCTTATAAATATGGTTTTTAAAAAAAATTTTTAAACACTTAATAAATAATGCCATTAAAACACAAACAATAAAGAATTTGATAAAGTAAAAATATTCTACAAAATCCTTGATAAAATATAAATTTTGATTTTTAGAAAATCAATAATAAACAAAAACAAGCAGCATGAAAGTAAAGGAGATTAACTCCAATCTCAAAGCATTGTGAGAAATCTTGATACAAATGATTTTAAATAATTAACTGTAATTTAAAAATAATATTATCAGATTGGAAAGTTGAGAAACGTAGACACACTGTACTGTAAATCTGACATCTTATTTTGAACAAGCTACAATAAGTGCCAAATTAACTGCTTACTTGATCTCGTCTTTGAACTCAAAGAATAAGTAAACAATAACTGAGATTATCGTTGAATGATTACAATATGCTACCCACAGCTGTTGCCATTATCAACAGTTTCTAAAGAATCCAAACATCGTCTGCGATAACTTTCCCAACAACAATAAATTGGCAAAATTATTACCCAATTAATAATTTTGATGATACAGTAACTGTCAGAAACAGGATTTGTTGATTAAAATTAAACATCATATCTGTGTAAATAATTTTCCATAACATAGCCCATTTTATAATTTAAATAATTTAAATTTGCCAAAGACTATTTGAATGGCATTTTATACTTTTTCTAGTTAAAACCAATTTTTAGCTAATAGCTTACTGAAAAAAAAAATTAAGCAATTTAATTGTATAACATTTTTAGATTTACGTGGCACTATACTTTACATAAAAAAAATAACAAAGTATATTTCCATGGTTGCTCCTTATTGATCTCTTTTGAGATATTACCGTCAGCCGAGCCATCAATATGCGGTCAAAAGGACAAGAAAATATTTTATGCCGCATCAATTAACAGAGAGGATACAATGTTCTTTGTTTTAAAATGCATTTTTACTAGAAATATTGACTTGTACCATATAGACCAATGGGAAAAGAAATTTGTACAGTGTACTGTGTACCGTGCATACATAGCTTGACCAAACTATTATCTTGATAAACACATATCATTACCCAACCCAGCTACACGGTAATATACTTTTAACTGTTGAGTCAAAGACATTATAGATTTTTCTTTCAAAATCTTTAAGGCGGCAATAGTTTGAGCACAGTTCGATGATACCTTTAAATTACTCATGGAATTACACCTGAAGATGGGCTTAAATCCTGCATTAAAAGGGTCAATTATACTTATACACTATACCTTAGGAGTAACTAGACTCTAGCAAACTGCATTAAAAGAAACTCACCAGAATACAGTTTACATGTACAGTAACGGATAAGATAGTATAATACATACTCCAAGTATCAAAATGCACGCCATTGTGTCAGGATTCAATATTTCGACATTAATTATGTCATCATCAGGAATGATACATACAGATACATAATACACAGCATCACTAGAAAACAAGATGTCCACAGAAGTCAAGTGTCAGTTGTTTGACAACAAAAGTTCAGTGAACTCTGTGCCTTGAAAACAAAATTAAGGAGACCAGAGATATTTTCCATAGGAAAATGCTATGATTTTAATGTGGTACGTGGAACTAAGGTTAGGATTATATATCCGTAACACCTGAATTGTAAGTTACAAGAATTATGGTAGAGATACAGTAGATAAAGCAGCTAAATACTGTGATAAAATAAAAGCAATCTACCACACAGGTCCACATATGCCTAATACATCATACAGTACCACTATCTAGAAAAACTCTTGGCCAAAATGTTGGTATACTGTCCTGTATGCATTAGAGGTCTCTGCACGCAAACAATTAGCCTACCAGTATGTTATACCCCGCACTTTATTTCATTGAAAAATTTAGCAAAATGTCAGCAAGTTACATAAAAATGGACTGTATAAACAATGCATACAATTATGTAAGAAAAGTTCAATGTTGGGAGAGATAAGGCAATTAGTCGGCTTATCCAGGTAAGTATTCACGAAATAGACAACCATCTGCTAGCAGTGATGTATACCATTTAGCATTGTGTGAGCATCTAAAAAATAGATATGCACAGTACTGGAAGATGATGATGATGATTTATTTTGTAGATTAAGTAAATTATATAATTCCCTTTTAGTTCAAGATAATAATCTTGATATATTTTCATATTCGTTTAATCAGTTTAGGCATAAAGTTTTAAGTGTACTGTAATTGATCATTTTTGATCTTTTTTTTCCTTGATGTTTCATCCATTTTTCAATTTGTTGTTTTGTATTTTTTGTATTTGCATTCTTGTTTATTAACCCTCCTATTATTGGTGAATTTATTTTGCTGTTGGTTGTGGTTTTAAAGAAATAAACAAAATAAAAAAATGATCTGGCCCAAAACACAGGCCAAAAATGGAAACAATAATTGTGGAAAGCAAGTTAAGAGAGAAAAATGTTAAAAAGACATCCCTTTGCCCTAACATTTGTGTAAAAAAGTAATTATATGAAACATGGCCCACTCATTCACACTACTTACAGCGAGTCACATACACCGAAGTATTGAAAGTGTAAAAAAATTATTGATCGTAAGATGAGAGGCTAAGACAGTCATACACAGTAGTCTTATTTACTTAGACAACCCAGAACAAATCTACTTGAGAATGAGACTGTGTACTGTATTATATTAATGTATAGTTTATAGTACGTTTTAGAATATAATGGCGATCGATGGCATAGCATATTGACCAGTTGCAGGACCAGGAACAATGGTGCTGGGAGCACAGAGTTTCCAGCCAGGGAACCGGGAAATAAGTCAATTATTTTATCAGGGAGGACTTACTTAAAAAAAAAGAAGCTGTGGGAATGCTATCGTTAGGCTTTTGACGTGCCTATTTTGCTCCATGAACACAGTGGGGGCAGAGGTAAATTTATACTTCTCGTCAGGGAACTTGGACCTCTCGTCTGGGAACTTGGAGCCCTTGTTGGGAGATTTTTTATGCCACCAATATTGACTATAAATTATTTGAATTTAAGTAACTAGTTACCTGATGGCTGGGGGCACTGTTGGCATGGGCCCTGTCACTCTGACTGCCATTTAATTGAATCCTATTTTCATTATCTTCTCCCCACGGAAGCTTTACCCTTCCTTTTCCCGCACTGTAGAAGCGCTTCTGAGGTGCTGCATCAGAGAGTTCTGCTAATTCCAAAGAATGATCAGTTCTTTCTCTAGCACTCTGCGTGGTCCCACCAGCAGCTTTCATAATCCATAAAACATCATAACTACATGATGAAGATGCTCTTGCTGTGGCAGAGGATGGCATCATTGTTGCATGTTCAACTAATCCGTCACCACGTACTTTTGGAAGCTGACGACGTGCAAGTCTGGCTTGCACGGCTCGCATCACCCCTTCCTCTTCCATCTGTAATTCTACTTGATCGACAGCGGAAATAAGGGGTCCGATTTTATTTGGACCCATTGCCGAGGCAAGCACCGCAAATGTTTCTAGCGAGGCTTGCCGTACTCTTCGCTTGTGGTCACTGAGAGTCGGTGCGATTACCCTAGATAAATCACCTAGATCAAAATCATTACTTGGAAATTTTAAAAGTGTTGCAATTGTTATATTTAATACTCCTTCCCGAACACTCGACTTCTTGTTCTGTAAGCTTTCAAATAGTACTACGAGGACAGGTTGTGGAGACAGAATTTGCATTAGCTGCATCATTACTTTCATTACAGCTTGACGAACCACAACCATTGAGTCACCGAACCTTTTACTTAATGCGGTGATTACTAATTTCAAAAATGGTTTTATATCCGTCTTTAATCTGTCAACAAGAACTTGGAAAATATCTAAAGACCCTTGAACAACTTTGAAATTAGTATCATCTAACAAATTGCAAAGGAAGCCAACAATAGCCTGAAATTCCTGTATAATCCTAGAGGTGTCTGGTGAAGATTGTAAAACAGAGCGAAGTTCCCCAACACCTTTGTAGCGAACTTTCCAATGTTCGTCTGATAACTGTCTTGTCAATGGCTCAGTCAGAATTGCTTTATCTTGAGTGAATTTATTTGATTGTCTGACCAATACACGGCGTTTTGAGGAATCAGTTGACACCGGCGTTGAAATATCAATTTCCGAGATATCACTACGAGCACTAGATATACTCGCCCTACTTGCCTTCCGATAGTAAGCCTGCTTTACAGGCGGCGTAAAGTTATCCACATAAGAACAAAACTCATTATCGCCTACCAAATTACGTATTCTATTTAAAGCGAAATTTGCAATTTCTGGATCGTCTTTATTTTCGGAAAGCTTTCGAGCTAGTGAAAGTGAAACGCTTGATAAGTCTTCCTTGGAAAATTCAGGTGTTAGTAACATGGGTAACATAACAGTTGTTTCAGTCCTAACCTTGGCATCATCGCTTTCAAGTCCATAAATTACAAGAGCATCAAATATTTGTCTTACGTTAAGTGTATATTTCATGTAAACATGAAGCGTTTGAATTACTGATTTTCGTATTGCAACTTTATTATCTCCAAGATTGTTAATTAACTGGGGCATAACAAAAGTCATGCATCTGTCAAGATCAGTACTCAAGTGGGGTATAACATCAGATATAAGTTGTATACTTTGATGCCTGACATCCCAGTCTGTGTCAATAAGAATGGACTGCAAACGCTTGAAAAATATCGAGCAGTCCTGAAACGGTAACTGCCCATCATTACTGTGTATACTGCTACGTAATGAATTCAAAACCTCTGTTTTGTGAAACGAATCATTATCTTCTAACTGATCAAGAATTTCATTCTCTTCCATGCTTTGAGGAGACTTTATATCACCTAATATTTGTCGGTGATCGCCTCGATGATCCTTTCGAAGAACATCACGGTCGCCGAGGTTGTGTACGTTTGGCCTGGCAACCGTTCCGGCCATCAAAAATGTGATTAAAATTAGCTTCAGACGATAAAGTTCAAACCTTTAACGTTAACAGAATTTCTCGCCATTCCCATCCTTCAGTAGTATTATCAGAAATAATTGTCAACTAGATCCTAATTGTCTACAATGCGAACATTTAATGAAGATCTGCTAAGTTACCTAGCGCAGTCAACAGTTTACATGGTGAAAATGGCTGCCTGGTCACGTGACTTGAATAGCTACTTACAAAGGTCATGTCTTTTTATAATACACTGCATGTACTAGATGTAAGGCCAGTTTTTGTTCACATGTATATACCGGCGTTCATAGCATCTTTTTCACTATCTCTATACAAAGTTCATATCGATAATTTATCTATACACTGCAATACAATATAATGTTAAGACTTAGTGCTGAAATCCAAGATGAGAAATGCCTACCACAATCAAAGTTCATGATGAACGAATCATGAGGTTTTCGACTCGTCAAATCTGGGTCCAAAAATGGCGTGGGAGTTAGGATGAGATGGGAGTGAATAGTAGGCCTAGGGGCGCGAAGAATTGGACTCGATGATGATTAAGTGAGACTGGTTTTTATCTGGTAATCTAATGTATGAGGCGATTGTATTATATTTTTTAAATATTTTTTCTGTAAGCAGACTTGTAGTGGACCGCCTATAGAGACGGTCGTTCTTTTGGGTGGTGTTAGCGGTGGGCAGAGAGGAATGAGCCCCCCCCCCCCGTTACATTTGAGATTAAATAAGCCTTTAAGTCGGCATAGTTTTCGTGGTTTCGTCCTAATAGACTACTTTCGACAGATTTTGAGCAACGCCCCGACCACGCCCACATACACATTTGTCGGAGACCTCGGTCCACCGTTGGGTACCCTTAAGGTGCCACCCCTGTGTGTGAGGGTAGGGGAACGATCCTGTTTCGGAAGGACAATACCCCATAAATAACACTATGGCAAATTCATTAGAAAAATTTGTAAGTTGGTTATCCTTAATGCTTGGCTGAAAAGCAATTGTTATGCATATTCTACTGACATTAATGTTTTTGAAGAAATCGGGAAGTTCTAGTAATATACGATTTTTTTAAATTTAACTATATAGAAGCTGAGGTTACTAATACCCCAGGTTTCTCCAGTTTTATTTTTTGGTTTTTGTTTTTGTTTTTTTTTTTTGTTTTTTTTTTCAAAACTTCTATTTTGTTAGCCGTTTTCAATTATTTCTTTTAACACCCTTTCAAACTCCATTGTCTAAAAACTGTTTTCCTTCAAAGCCTTCAAATTAATTTTGGAGCTCACGCCTTCGGTAATAATCATGGATTGCTGTGCAAACAGGCGTTTTACAATAGTTATAACATGGACATATTAATAGGTCCATGGTTATAACTTTTAATGTAATAAATATATATTCATTTCCTCAAATACAGGAGGAGGGAAAAGCCAAGGAAAAACAAGGCTCCTAATATAAAACAAGTTTAGCAGCCCCAAACATCAAACATGAAAGAAAAATAACAAGTAACAAGCGCATTCCACACAACACCCTGCAATAATAAAAATTGTAGGCATAGGGGCCTATGGGTTGATTTAACTTTATATCTGTAATAAATTTTTTAAATTATTTATTTATAATTAGGCCTAATATTTTTTTAATAACTAAAAACTAATAAGTTTTAACTATGAAAGAAATCTACCAGCTTTAGCCTACCTATACTGTCAGCACTTTTAACACCCGGGCTCGTATTTTCTATTTAAGTATAGAATTTTAAATTGCAAACCTTCTTAAGTCCAGGCTCCGGAGAAAACAAATTGTTTACGCTGTACAAGTGATTTCAAAAAGACACAAAAAGGCTGAATGACGTAAAACTCGTGAATGTAGTAGATAGCACGATGTTAAAAACTGGGTGTGTCTTTAAAAATCATTTGTACAACACATCAAATTTCCTCCAGACCCTGGCTTCAAGCTCATCGGAATTTCAACCCAAAAGTAAATTGCATAATATTTTTTCATAAGATTATTATATATTTTAAAAAATTAAAAAGATGCTTCAAATGTCTGGTAAAACGCTTTTGTTTAAATTATATGTAATTTAATGTTTAATATGGAACAATTGAGTCTGAAATAACGTTGAAAGAAAAAAACGGAATGATTTTTTAAAGTGCAGTCATTAATCGTTTAAGATTTAAGACTCTACCATTCTTAGGAATTAAGCAAAATTTATTTACTTGCGTCACGAATAATGACGCAGAATGTGTATTGTTCACAAACACTTTGCTCTCATTTCCCGTTAATAGAATCGAATCTTATTTCTCGTGACTTCATTTAGTAGAAGACGTTTCATGTTTGCTTTCTTTATGTCCTTATAAAAGGACATACCCCTGTACACGTTTTGTTCATTTACTTAATAGGAAACATTACTCGAAGAATACACTTTTTTTTTTATTTGAGATAACTTTAGTTTACAATTTAATTTAAAGCTTATATGTTTGTCCAAGAGAAAATCTGTCTTCTGTTAAATTTGAGGGATTTACGTTGTTTATGGGCTGGTGGCCTGAAGAGTTTGAATGAGGTCGGGCGTTGGCCAGAACGAACAAATCAATGCACCCTGCTAGAATAGACCAGATAGTGAGCGTCGTTTTTGCTTTTTTTTATTCTGCACATTGTGTGTTCTCAACCGTGTATAAAGGAGGCTATGAAAACTTTTCTGCAAATTCAACTGCATGACATGAATGTTTTTATGACACAAAAATCAATGCACCTGTGACACCCCACACTTTAACTCAAACTCTCAGCTTCTTACAACTCTATGGGAGGAGGCTCGGTACTCCAAATTTTTGTGTGGGAAATCGTATAATTTAAGTAATTACAGACCGTTTGAAATTATGCTCTTTTTTGTTGTCTTGGTAAATCAGGATTTGGGTATACTAAACTATTGAGGGCGGCCTGCTACTACAACTAACTTCTGAAAAGATAGAGATGTTTCTGTTGTTTTCCTCTGTAGGGCATATTTCTATGATTTGACTAAATTCTCTACCTTGGGGTGACCGCTTACTATATTCCTACACTGAAGATAATTTTGTTGGGTTTTCATCTTTTAATGTAGACAAGGTATTAATGATTTTTAAAAAAGTAATGGTGACAATGACTTGGAGAATGAAAATGATGATTGACACTAATGATGGTGATTGATAATTATGACTGATGCCCATAATGACGATGGCGGTTACCATGACGATGGAGATTATGGCGACAACTAACTAATGTGACAAGAGATATTGATGGAACTTATTTTTTTATCTCCTTGTAGGAAGTTAAAGTGGTCCTGAAAGTTTCAGGCAATGCTGATGGCAATGTCTTTGGTGCCAATGATAATAATGACAATGGCGATAAACTGATGATAATTATTTTGCAGTCACGATGTTCCTTTACCGATAATACCGATAATATTGGTAATCAAAATATTAAAAATAACAAAAACAGTGCACTTTAAATACTTATGATTTATTACCAAAATATACAAAACGTGATCTACAAGTGATCACAAATATTAACATTCAATATTCAACAAGAACAGATATCTCTCCGAGATTTTTTTTAATCGTTGTTTTTTACAATGACGATTTCAATGGGTTACCAGGGAAACGGAAACAAAACAGTCAGTTTTATGTCTGTTTTGCCGATGTGAGAAAACGAAATTTGGGATACAGTTGTGGTGCTTGATCAATTAAAAAACCATAACTTGGCTAGCATGAAAATCACCATGCTTAGGACTGTGAGTGTAGAGTGTGGCAAACGCAAAAACCCCAGAAGCTGCATTACTGTGTTTTGGGGACCAACGTCACAAATGACCAGGATTTTTTTCTTTTTTTAAAAAAATAATTTGAAAGAGACAAACAGAAGTGAAGTGACCACAATGGCAGGAGTTGAAAACGCCCCGGATAGAGAGTGGGGTCTTTGGGGTATTGAAAGCCGTGCATTTCAACTTCAATTGAAATCATGATTGTAAAAAAACGCCATGACCCCGCCATGACCATGAGCTTCAAGTACATTTTCTGTTTAACTATATAATCTTCATACTTATTCATATTAACAATCATAATTAACTTAAATAAATTCTGAATCTTTTTACGTGGAAGAAAGTTATCATGGAGGGCCATGGAATGCGCCCTGCAGCTCGTAAGAGCGTCATCCACCTTTTCCACGTACTTACAAGAGGGTGGTAAACCCAACACTGATCGGAAAGACTACAAAAACAATTTGATTTACATGTGAGTTAATGACAATTTTGTATATTCAACAATGATCGTGATTATAAATAGAAGAATTTTTAGGCCAAATAAAAATACAAGTTTCATTTCCACCCTCTTGTCTTTTATTTATGTTCATTTCCTTTTTTTGTGGGGGGGGGGTGTGAGCGGTAGTTCCTTCATTGATTTTTCATACTTACAATCCAGAAAAAAAAAACTCTTTGAAGAAACTTGTTTTTTTATTTGGCCTAATTGAACACTGAAGTATTGATGCTGGATCCTTGGAGCACAGTCATCCTAGTCATAAATTGCATATGCAGTATAAAAACATACAGATTACAGAACCCATCTATTTTCTATCTGCAACTTTGATGTGTTAACCCAGTAGGCTTGATATAGCCAGCCTACAACACCTGTATTTGTTTCATTGCAGTTGACTAAAAGCACCAAAAACTTGATGAGACACCAATATGCCTTTGTGGTGGGCTTACAGTAAGTTAATTTATATGAAAGGAAATACACAAAAAAGACAAAAATTCAAAGCATTCAGGTATTTTGTCCTACAATAATTTAAACAGGAAAAAAGAATCATTTATGTGCATAAGGGTAAGTGTTTTAACAAAGAAGGCTTACTGGGGGGTGGGGGATGATTCTGCTTATTATTTTTTTTATGATTGGTTTATTTATTTATTTTATTTATATTTTAATTTTTTGAATTAATTTAATTAATTCAATTACATGATAAACTATATAAAAATAACTCAATACAAATATTATATGATATAATGACAACAAGGTGAACATAATGATAGTGAATGACATGGTTAAAATATTCCTCATAAACAGTGTGATCTATTGAAAGTATACTTTTGTTTATTCCTGCGTAGTATATGGAAGAAGCAATAGAGGATTCAGGGGCACGTGGCTTATTACCCCACAACTACCCCCAAGTCATAGTACCACTTTGCAATTATTAATAAATACATTTTAAAAACAGCAGCTCAAGCTCCTGTGTTCCCTTGTATTCAAAATCATTAATCTAGAGTTAAGTAGAATAGATTGATAGGGCATGAATGATCCTGAATCTTCAGGGACTTGTATAAAGAGTTTTTTAAAAGACGGGCTCCTATCCCACACAAATAAAATATGGGTTACAGAAGAGAGATTTACTAATGATTAGTAATATGTCATTAATTTAAATCAAGGTTATTATTCAACACTATAATTACTAATAGAATAATCGAATATAATCCACACTGACTAGCTTTGCGCTATATAAACACTTTTTTTATACAAACTTTTGAGTTGCTTATTATTGTACAAGAATCAATATACAAATGGGCAGCATGGGAACTGAACCCTGACCTCTGATCATAGATAAGCACCAATCACTCCCATCAAATAAGTTATTCTTAGTTCATTATTTTATAGGAAGACTTTCACTGCTTTCACAAACATTTCAGATAACCAGTAATGTCTACATCAAATCATAAAATTCCTTTAAAACTTGTTAATATTTTAAAAATCATTAACAATCTTAACATGCTCAATTCAATTGTTTTTATTTTTAGAAAAATTTTGTGTCAAAAAGATGTTTTTGCTGATGAAATAAAACATTTTTGCTTCTAGAACATTTAACCAAACTGAGCATGTGCAGTGTTAAAACTCACTCATGCATGCAACCCACTGATGCATGCAACTTAGTCATGCATGTACAGTAATATAAAATTTGGTAAAGATTTTGATTTAAGTATTTTAAGGTTTTCCAGCAATTTGTAGTGGTTTTTGTAAACTCTAAAGTAACTCAATTATTGTAGTCCTAATTGTTTAACTAGAAACTTTGGGTTAAACTCCTGGAAGACCAAGACAGCTGCAGTGCAGTGCCACCCCTTGTCTTGGGCAGTTCACCGGCAGACTATCTCTTCCAGAACTAAAGTGTGTTTATAACCTTTATTTCAGGGCAGCAGATTGATGAAACCAAATGGAACTTCTAAACCAGACACAAAAACATTTTGATGGTTGAGCACGCACACAGAGTGGTTGCCTCATGTTATAACCAGGGAGATGTTTACATCTCCCTGTTATAACCAGCTGCACTAGGCTGCTATTCAGTGGTATAGTTAACGGATTAGGATAATTAATGCTACAATTTCAACAATATGTATTTTTATAGTTAATAAGCTGTTTTAATTTTTAAATGAGCAATTAAAACTTTATAATTTTTCGGGGTAATTTAAGATTTCATGATTGATAGACAGAACACTTTTAAGCCAAAACATACAATTTTTTCTACTGATTTCACACAAATTTACATTAATAATTAGAATTTGGCACATAAATAAATACTTTGTTAGAACATGGAGGACTATTATACTCCCTGATTAGAATCACTCATAATTCTACTAAAATAAATCAATCATTAGTCAAAGGCCTGTTTAGCATTACAATTTTTTTTTATTAGAGTGTCATTAGGCACTAATGTTTACATTATCACAAAGTGACACATTACACAGATAAGTAAGCAATTCACGCTTGCTTATTCTAAGCTCTGTCTGCGTAGGTGGTATATGGCCCTTATCTTCTGGATATAATAAGTCACTAAACAAATTAGCAGATTTGTAAACATAGCCAGGTGAGCTGTTGAAGCACAAATCACACACCCCTACTTTTCAAAATTATTGTCAATTAGAATCATTCATCAAAAGAAGTTGTTGTAGTAATTATATGAAAGACCCAGAAGAAAGAAATCAGGGCTGAAAGACAACCAGAGCAATTAGCAGATATTAATAATAATGATGAGCATTAATATTAAGTGGTAATAGTAATTAGTATTATGATAATCGTTTTCCTAAATTTTTTTTTTTTACTATCATTATTCTAATATCTAGTCATATATCATGAACTTTTTCTCAATTATTACTGTACTCTATTTGTATGTAAAGTACATGTAGAATAAATGTCATGTGGTTATGACAATACTGCATGTGAATTCCTATGGTTGGGCCTCCTTCGATTGATTTATTGACTGAGTGATTGATTGATATTTTATATATGATAATAATATTAAGTAACACAATGTACTGATCAACACAATTACCATGTAAAACTGAATTTACATAATAATTTTTTATAAAGCATCTTTTGCGATCCAAATTTTCAACACATTTGTAATATTATTACCCTCACAGATCCTGATTAGCAAAGACACGCAGCGTGTAATCCACTCCGCTCGAGCGTACTCGGTGGGCTCAACTAAATCGTTAGTAAGCTTAATTACCATCAGGACGACTCAGGATGGATTCATCAATACACGACCGCCCTACGTTCTCTGCACAACGTACATTCGAATCAAACATTGTCCTTTATCATAGCATCATTGCATAATCCAAAGCGCCCCTTATTACGGGAGCAGATGGGATCGCTAATTTAACAATAAACTTTGATGCTTTCAACTATGTTCTTCTGAATAATATCTTGACTATAGTTCATATACAGTACTTATAAGTCCTCAGCTGAATCGCAGTCAATTTTTGCTTCCCTATATAAGTTGTTATGATAGTTGACTTTCTTTGGAGACTGAAAAATAAGAAATTTCATACTATTAGATACAAGATAAATTTATTGTAGACTTTAGGAAAATTGGAATTTATAATATAATTCAGTAATAGAATTAAAAAATTATAAATACATCAAAAAACCACAAATTACAATAAAATATAATATAATAAAGCTAAAATAAGCAAAAATAAAATACACATTATCCAATATAAAGATTACAAATAACCTTTTCATTAATAATGGTGGTGAAAACATGTAATTTATTGTTGTTATACATCCTTTGAGGGTTGTGGGAATTTAACTTGGCAATTTATTTTAGTTTATTAATTTAAGCACACATTTGAGCACTTCACTACATCCCTGTCCAGACTATCAAATTGTATTTGATAAAAACATGTGACTTGCCTAAATATGGTCATGATGATATTACATCATGACCATATTTAGGCACATCATTACCATATATGGTTACACAAAAAATTTAATTCTGCACAGGGCTTCAGATAATACAAGAAACAATCAAATCATTCTTACTGCTGTTTGTGTATTGTTCTTAGATGCCCTACCAGTTTCACCTTCAAAAACACCCATATTTGCCGACTCTGATTTTTGTCGATGTACCTTTGAAAGAAACACAATAAACGAATTTTAATACCATTCAATATGATGATGGTTAACTTGATTGTTTTAAAGAATGCAAAGAAAAAAGTGTACAAGGAACAGATGTGAAGTGAGCATATAACATAAAGATTGTTAAAAATATTTTTTGCTAAGTATGGGAGCCATATGATAAGTGTTATTGGATTTTATATCACATCTATGGCCTCCTAATAGCAACATGTACTGACAACGATAACAACAATACTAATATCTATTTGTAAGCATATACGTGCAGATAATATATAGTTAATTTACGGTAAAGATGAACATGAGCATATTAAATTTAATAATTATCCTTATTTTGGAAACATGTATTGATAAATATAGGAATAACAATAATTGTTCTTTCTAATCTTTATTTTGGAAATAATTTCCATATGATGCAAACGGAGGACTTACTATTACTATTGCTGAACCAATTATGACTGCGAAGATTAACGCAATGCCAACAACGATGCAGACTATAATAACTATTTCCATGGATATTTTGTTGTGGTCGCTTGTGCTGCTTTCTGTACTATTGGAAGCCATCGTAACCTTCACACTACTTGCAATAACGTCCATTTTTATGTCATCAAATGTAAAAGAATAACTAGAAGATTCAAACTGAAAAGATAAAGATATTATTGAATGATTTACAGTGGGATTTGGTATGCCAGGGAACATGGTATTCCTTGATGGTCGGGCGCATTAGATAGAAGAAGGTGCATTTTTGTGTGGAGCAAGCCCGCTGAAGTTGCAACATGTTTAGGAAAGATTTTAAGGTATAGCACCTCACATGTATGGAAATGGTACTCCGATAATTGAAAAGTGCCAAATTTCTATGCAAATGGTACTTTTTAATAACAATAATCCCAAACCTACAATAGATTTAAATATTACACATAAGCACTATGAACTGTAAGTCCATTGGCACAAATATGGCCCATGTGCATTATGCACAAATAAATAAATAAATACAGAACCACTCTTTCGAGGTGAGTAGTGGTTTACTGGTGCAGCACATATGGTGTACCCGGCACAAATTTACCGCGTACATCATACACAAATGACACTTGGGGAGAAGGAAGTTATTGAACGAACTACTCCACGAATCCAGCATTTCGAGACTTGGTGTAAAGCATTACGTTAATAAAAAAATACATTAAAATCATACAGGTGTGAATAATACTAACCTGTGATTTCATTGAATATGCAACATCTTCAATGTTCAACGACGATTGAACATCAGACACTAAACTGAATTCTACCTGAATACCGCCACTTTGACCTGAAATCTGAAATTTCAAAATTCAAAATAAAATTATATGAATTTGATTTCAATTGTTTAATTATAGTTACAAAATTATATTATATTTTAAAATATAAATTCAATATATATATATTGTTTAATCAGTTTAATTAAATTTCAACTCACTATGAATTTTTGTAACATAGATTCTGCTATTGAAAATTCATTGGAAAGATCTTGGGTCAGAGACCTGCAAAAAATAAAGAGTAAAATAAAGTATACAGTCTTGTAAAGACAGTGTTCTTATACAAATGACACAAACTAATAACAACAATTGTGAGTGTCAATCTGAGACCTATAGACCGAGGGAAGTGATATAATATGATCAGGTGGAATGGTTGTTCTTTTCCCTTAGTTCGCAATACAAGGTATAAATAAAATTATTTTCACCAATTTACAGACATACTACAAAAATCCTTAAATTGACTGTAATCAATTTAAGGATTAGTGAAATGTCTGTAAATAAGTGAAAACCATTTTTTTTTTGTTCTTGGTGGAAGCTAATGATTTATTTGTTTCTTTTAAATGAGCTATTCAAAGTTTTATTTCAATTTTTGAGGTATTTTCCTGTCTTTTAACTGATAGTGCATCTTTAAGAGTTTTGAAGGACAGAAGAAACAATTTTTATTTGGTGCTGGACGCAGGGTTTCCGGAACGCCGCCCCCAGCGGTGTGTGCGAAGCACAACTCAGAGTCAGAAGTGGAACGTGAAATTCCAATATGGTTTTGTAGTCAGATTTTGGCAGTCCAGGAAACTACGCTGGCTGCAAGCTCTGGAGTTTTAGCCATTTCCATCTTTTATTAAAATGATTTCACAGTTTTTTTGGCCGCTGCTGCCGGGAGATGAGCACCCTTTTCAAAGCCACCTGGATTTGCCACTGCTCAAGTTTGAGCAAATGCTAATGTTCCATTTGCGCCAGCCACCTCTCTCTTCACTTATCTTTGCATCGTAAGCTCCATTCAGACTATAACATTTTCTTTAACAAAAAACAGATGTATGACCATATTTAGTCATGATGTGCCTATATATGGTCATGATGTG